GTTGAACGTCTAAGCTTTCATCTCCCTGGGCAACATAGTGTGTACTATAATCCTAAAGAGTCTGTCAGTTCTGTTCTTAGACGTCCTACTATCCACACTACTAAGTTTCTAGCTTGGATGCATGCAAACAGTGTGTATCCTCAAGCTAGGAGCTTGACTTATGCTGAATTTCCTACCAAGTTCACGTGGAAAACCAAAACAAGAGAGTGGGTACCAAGACAAAGAAGCACTGCAATTGGAAGACTATACTTCATGCGACCTGGAGCCGGAGAGAAATATTATTTAAGGATGCTCCTTGGTGTCGTGAAGGGGGCAAGGAGTTTTGAAGAACTCAGAACAGTTGATGGAGTCATACACTCGACGTTCAGAGAAGCTTGCTCTGCACGTGGTATGTTAAATGACGATAAAGACTATATAGATGGACTTATAGAACAAAGTCATTGGGCAACAGCGCATGAACTTCGCGTCACATTTGTTCATCTTTTACTACAAGAGTCATTATCTATGCCCAGTATGGTTTGGGAGAAGTGTTGGCCATATCTATCTGATGATATACTCTACACTATTAGGAAGAATCTCAATGATCAAGGTATGTTTATTATTTAATGGCATTCCTAAAATTTAGATAAATTCAATAAATGCCAATATTAAGAGTGATGTAGATTTACAATATGCAAGATATTTTGAAATTAAAAATTACCTTTTCATATATATTATAGTTAACGATCATTATTCACTAATATCATTTTGAAATGATCTGCACCGTTCATATTTCTTTTCACTCCGTTTCTTTTCTAATCAACCGACCCACTCTTTTCATTTTTTTCTCTTCCTGCTCTTATCACTGATCCCTATTATTTTCTCCACCATTCTCTTATCTCTTATCTCTTATCTCCAAATTCCTTCATTTCAATGGAGCAAATGAATAAAACTTTCCCTTTTTTAGGAAGAAGGAGGTCTGCCAATAGAGAGAATTCTTTGCCGGATGAAAGAATTCTGCCAATAGATCCGCCTGCTCCATGACAAATCGTAAATTGATTTCTGCCGGAAGAAAGATTACTTGCCGGAAGAAAGTCCATAAAAAATGCTCCATGTCCGCAGGTTTTTATTCGAATTTAGTTAATTTCAAATCAACTTTCTTTAATTTCAAATCAACTTGATTTGTAATTTCTTCTCAAATTCTGTTTTACTCTTTTTGACAGTAAGTGTTTCTAGCGTTTACTGAGTTCTAAAACGACCCTAAGTGTTTCTATTCTTTTTGACAACTATTCTTGATCATTCCTACAATTCTATGGAAATTCTAGATGGATTTCTTCTCAAATTCTGTTTTTTACAAAAATTCCTTGCCGGAGGAAAGATTACTGCCACGACACCCTGAAACATCTGCAATTTTTTATACTTATTTAGTTAAATTTCGAATCCAATTTAATTAATTTCAAATCAAGTTCAATGGTAATTTCTTCAGAGCTTCTGTTTTTTTGACAATGTATTACCTTCTTTCTAAGTCCAGAACAAATTTCCCCCACATGTGAATAGATAAATTCAACCACCTTCAGAAATGATTTTTTTTAATTGATGTTTAACATTTTTATGTTTTAGTAATATTCTACTAAAAGTATGCTAATTTACATATTTTCATACATATATAATAGGATGAGCTATATTAGATATTTTTATGTATTAGAGTCCCTCAACGTAAGCTATTCCTATATAATAGGATGAGCTGCTTAACGTAAGTTTTATATATTTTTATTTATCTAAAAATTTCCCATTATTCTCCCCACACTGATTTTATAAATTTATATTCTTCTAAACTTAAAAGGAGACCTCCATACTTATCTCTCTCTAAAAAATTATCTCTCTTTTTAGGGAGGACTATTTCTCTTTTAAATAATTCCATCCCTATTTAGCATTCAATTAATGATTAGAGTCCCTCAACGTAAGCTATTCCTAAATAATAGGATGAGCAGCTTATCTCTCTTTCGATACTTCTCTCTCTGCTAACTGATTTTTTATTTACTTGAAGTGTCCTACACCAACTCTACGTCTATAGTTTTCCCATAGCTATATATAATACCCCTTACTCTAAATTCATTATGTGAGACCCCTTTAGTTCCCATACCCCTTTAGTTCACAAAACAATGCCTCCCGTTAAAAAGATTTTATCTGACGTGACACTTCAACTCCAACGTCATGAAGCCTTTTTATTACGTGTTGTTCGTAAGTGGATGGTGCCATATGATGATGCACAAAGGGGCAATAAATCCATGGAATTGGTTTTAGTTGATGAGAAGGTAACAAATCCATGGAACTGGTTTTAGTTGATGGGAACTAAACCATTGAAAAATGTAAAAGTGCTGAAATATGTTTTAGTGACTTTTATTCATAGTATCTGTGTTGAATTGATTATATGCTTTTGGTTTATTTGTGATGCTATTCGTAATAAATAGCATGTGGTTTTACTTGATGAGAATGTAAAAAATCCATGGAATTTATTTTAGTTGATGGGAACTAAACCATTGAAAAATTTAAAAGTGCTGAAATATGTTTTAGTGACTTTTATTCATAGTATCTGTGTTGAATTGATTATATGCTTTTTGTTTATTTGTGATGCTATTCGTAATGAATAGCATATGGTTTTACTTGATGAGAATGTAAAAAATCCATGGAATTTGTTTTAGTTGATGTGAACTAAACCATTGAGAAATTTAAAAGTGCTGAAATATGTTTAGGGACTTTTTCTCATAGTATTTGTGCTGCATTGCTAACATGGTTTTGGTTTATCTGTGATGCTATTCGTAATGAATATGTCTGTAATGGATACTATCTGTAATGCATATTAATATATGAATGGCTTTAATGAACATATATTTGTTCACAGTTCAGAATTTAATTATCCAGTATAATGATCTTAATTTAACACCTAGCTGTGAGTCTGTGACCATCAAGCTGATATGTTAATTAAAGAACAAATCTTTAATCAAACTGATTTGTTCATCTGCTTTGTGAAAATGACAAACCATACTATTCGATGAAATGTGCTAAGTTTCTTCCATTGGATTCAATCATTAAAACTTCTAAGAAATCTAAGTATCTTATCCTACACATCTTTTATAGATATTTTTATCCAAATGATAATTGTTCTTAATGATCCTTGGAATCTTTTTATAGGAAGTTCGCATTCAAGCATCTATATCCCGTACGGAAATTCAACTATTTGAAAGCCAGTTGGAAGAAGGTGGGTTGTATGCCATGTGTAATTTCACTGTCAAGGCGAATAATGGAAAGTGGAGACCGGCATCACACCCTTTCAGGTTACAATTCCATGAAGGAACTAAGGTTAAGTGTCAGGAATTAAAAGACCATAAGGACTTTCCCCTACACATTTATAATTTTACTTCTTTCAACGATATTCACAACTGCCCTGATGGAAAAAGTACTACAGATCTCATTGGTAAGAGTTTAGTAATATAAAAATACTTATATGTAGAACTTTATAATAAACACAAATCATATAACTGCATCTATATATGGTCACCTAAATGAGTTTCTATTTCTTATTTTTAGATGTAATTGGTGTGTACAATCCCCTCGACAAATTCAGTAAGCATTATACCGATTCAGGATCAACATACACTAACTTTTATATTCGGGACATCGAGTTAAGTATATCAAATTGGCCCCGTTTCCAATTGTATGTTATTAAGATTATCTATATTTATCTTTCATTCTCATTCTTACGCTTATCTTCTTTCTTTATAGGAATAAAAGTCTCTTTTGTACTTTATGGAATGTGTATGTGGACCAGTTTGAGACGTATTTATCTCAACCGGGAACAAATCCAGTTGTTATCTTGCTACAGATGTGCCGTATTAATCCAAAATATGGTTAATTACATGCATCTATTTCTTATCATTGAGACATTATTTTTATTTTTATAGTTTTTAGTTGATAAAAACATATGCAAATATATGGCTGTTTTAGGCAGATGTTCCTCAAACGGTGTAGCTACATCTTACCATGTGACAAAACTTCTTCTTGATGCACATGTCCCAGACATAGAAGACTTTCGCCTTAGGTAAAATGATATCTAAAATATTTTTGTATTAGTTACCACTTTCAACATGTATTATTCTCAAGTCTATTATAGAATAATGTTGGGTTAAAAATGCACTAAAATCTTTATTCTGGTAATAGGTATCTGGAAACCACACGTAACACTTCTCAAGCAATAAGTCACAGTTCCTCTTTTGGTCCAGTAACCGTTGGTAGCGGTACAGAAATTGGCTTCACAATGCCATTGTCTGAATTGGAGAAAGCAGTCGAGGTAAACAAAAATACATTTTCAACGTTGTTATTCTACTTTGAAATGAAATCTGTACAACTTAGTGATTTGAAAAATGAACATTAATCTCTTAAAAGGTAATAGATCATTATAAGCTCAAGAATTAATAATTTGGAATGTAGTGATTCATTTGAGTATGTATACAGATGTGCATAAAATACATAAATTTACCTGTTACTAAAATTGTGCCTACTGCTAATATGTACACTTTTATGTGATAATAGGTTCGTGGTTGTTGGTTCTATGGTCAAATAAGTTCCATAACAAGCTATTTCACATGGGCTTATCTTGGTTGTAAAATGACCAAATGTTATAAAAAATTGAGCAAGGCTGGGAATGGAGAATTAGTATGCGACAAGTGTGGGATTCAAGTTGCTGATGGAGAGGGTGTTTGGAGATACAATTTAAGACTCAAGGCTAACCATAACAATAATTCTGCAAATTTGGTTTTCTGGGATGCTGTGAGCAATTGTTTGATTGGAAAATCTGCTGGAGATTTCCCCAGTCACTATTATGACATGGTAATGCTACCTCACAGTATACTTAATTTGCACAATTTTTTATCATTACAAATGCAAATCCATTTGATTTGATTTTAAATTTAGTAATATGAATAAATCCGACTTCAATATGTGCAATTACTCTGCATGTGTAGGAGAGGCTATCACCTTCAGGCTGCCCAGATGAAATAAAAGATTTGGTAGGTCGTGAGTTTGTCTTTAAAGTTGACCGTCAATCTGGCTCCCCTTTAAACGGAAAGAGTTATTCAATTGGTATGGTCTCAACCGATCAAGATAAAATTGAGGAGCTTAAGTCTGTTGGAGCCAATCAGTCTGGGAGACAGGTACAATTCTCTGTAATTTTACACTGACCAATGGTACACAAGATATGCACTTACATGAATTTATAATCCTATTAAATTCATTTAGGTATTCAATTATTATTGGAAAAATGATTTAGTGTAGAGATAAACTTTACTTGGGAAATTGTGAAAAATATCACACGTTTTTCTTCAATCAAAATTTACAAGAATCAGTAAGTTCTTCACTTGATTATATTATTCCTTTCGTTTTCCATGTTCACTACTCTTCTAAGAACTTGCTCATTTTTATAATAACTTTTTAATTTTAGACATTAAAATTTTATATGCTATACCACTTATGTATTTAATTTCACTTTTGGTTTGTTCATAGCAACTTTGGTCTGTTCCCAGCCAAACGCAGGTTCATATAAAACTTATCCACCTCCAGTTTAGAGGTAGTCTTCTTGAGTACAATTTTTGAAACTTCAGGCAAATTCTTTCACCTATTTTTCGAATTTAATCCCAATTAGTCCTAAAGTAATCAATTTGATGATTCTGGATACACACATTCATCAAAAGTTTTGGTGTTTAAAACAAATACAAAGGAGTACTGCCTGGATAAATATGATGAATCCTAACTTACATTCTTAATTTAACGAAATAAAGTGTACTTGAGTAATCATAATGTGTTGATTATCTGAATGATTGGGCAGATTAGTTTGGTTAGTCTATGAACTCTCTCTTAATACGTATCTCTTTGTTAATAGTAATTATCTCTACTCTAATAGATTTCATTTTTATTCTAATTACGATTACATTTATTAAAACTATATGTAAGTTGTACATTAACTTAACACACATGAAGCACCAGAATGACAAGCTGCATTCAACACAACCAAGCTTTTAGGAAATGAACTCCCCAGAAGGAAAAGTTCTATTTTAATTATTTCCATGTAACTAAATCAAACTTTTGAAATTGCACTTTTGAAATTTAAAAAAATGTGTACCTTTCCCAATTAGTTATGTAACCAGTTACTGAATAAGTATCAAATGTCATACTCACATGTTAGATTGAATAAATATTCTTAGCAAAGAAGCCTGAAAGGCTGATTGTTATTTCTATAATAATTTAATAAACGTATTCTGAAGCAGGACTATTCAACGCTCATATAATTTAATGAGTGTACTGTGATGAGGATCTTAATGAGGTCTCCTTTTAAATGTTCAGGACTATAACTCTGATGAGGATCTTGATTTACTTTTTTCTTCTCCAGTCACAGTTGAATCTAATATAGTAAGTACTTACTGTTTATTTATCCATCCGAATATGTTTGACTCTTCACTCCTAATTGACAAATGTTTGCATGTAGACACCATCTTCAACTGAAGACGACATCATAATACAAACCACCCCTTCTTCAACATTAAAGAGGCCTTCAAACGTTGAGCAACATGTTGACTCTTCTACGCAGAGTTCAACAAATAAGAAACTCAAGGGAATCAAGATTGAAAAGCCGGATGCTTGAGCATTATCTTTTCGTTTACTTTGTTCTTTTACTTTTCGGAATTAATGTTATTTATCCTGTTTATTTGTGTTTTAGTAAGTTAGCTTCTGTTTCAGACACTAGATACAGTTCCTTTTATGAACGAATAATATTCATTTGCAATTTCTAAATGCAAATGATGAATCAATATGCCAAGCTCGACTGGAATAAATCTTTTCACTTCTATATACTTCGTATTATTTTTAGGCATCGTTGCTGGATTTTGATTACTCGAATTTCGTACTATGAACTATAAGTTATATCTCATGTATAAATTATACTCCGTATTGTTCTACTCTTATTGAAATTGCTTTATATTTAAATCATGTTAGATTCTGTAGATAATGTTTATTGACTATTGAGTATTGTTTTAAACAAAAGAGACAATGTCAATTGTTATGGACTCACTTCTTAAGAAGTTAAGGGATGTTCAATGACATACATACTTATTGTGTAACCAAGAAGAAAATAATCTTTCTGTGATAATGTTTTGAGAATGGCAGTCACTAGATGACATCACCTATCACTTTTGAGAATGGCAGTCACCTAGGCTTCATGGAGCTTGACTCCACAAGCATTTTTTAAGATAGAGTTGTTGGACCAGTTCCTGGTGAAGAGTCCAGGATTGGAGGAAGTCCAATTGGACTGAGCAAAGAATCACACGTATGGAGTTATTAAATAAACTCCATTGAGTATTTGGATAACTATGATCTTCAATTGATAATATTTATCCATATTGCTTAGAAGATTGTATTTCACTACAACTACACTACTATTATTGAAAGATAACGTTGAATGAGAAGAGGAATCTACTATAATTCTATCACACTCCTATATATACCTAATATCATGTTATATATTCTTAACAACCACAACACATATAAATTAAAGTTATGTTTCTTTCAAATTGCTTTGCTATCAACTTTTGTTAACAAAGAGATATTGTGAAGGCTTGCTCCTGCAGTATAATACTTCACGTATAGTCAGGAATTACTAAATGACCAACCTTCCTCCCTTGCGGTAATAATATGTCAAGTGTCATTTTTGTTCCTATGCTACAAGGCTTATACTTTGGCTCCACCATCTTCACTCCAATCATTCAGAACTTTTATATTACAAGGTTAGTTATACTGTCTTGGTTTGTATAGAATTTAGTTTTTTTAAATACCATCGTTGATAAACCAGAAGTTATGTTTTTATAAACGAAATTGAACTTCTATACAAAATCTCACAAAACAATTTTTATTATAATAAAAACAACACTTATTTAAAAGTGTGACATTAGATATAAAAAAACTCTTATTAGAGTTGGCCTCATATTCAACTAAATGTGGTAGTTATCTATTTTGTTAAATTTGTATCCTTAATCTAACTGTATCTATAATATTTGTATTTATATATATTTGAGGTATAATTAACCCTCAAATTTCCTTATATATTATTACTAATTAATTATATTTAAATCATAAATATACTGTTCCGAATAAAAATTCGGACTTATTAGACATTTCTGTTATTTTCAGAAAATTGTGAATAGAATTATAATAACCTTTTATTATTCAAGTATTAGTTGTACGAATCACGGGAATCTGCATACCATTACACCTTAATAAGATCTCATTTGATAAATCAATCCAATATATTTAGGTTTTCCATTTCAAGTACCAATAAATTTACACAATAAATCACGCATAAAATCATTTAGTAATACGTAGTATAAAATTTATAAAATGATTTTCTTAGTAATCCTGTGTATAGTAGACTTATTTTTAATTACAATAAAGGTTACAAGTATCATTACATTTCAGACTCTTCGTATGTTTTCTTACTATCACTATATTTGCATTTATGTACTTGCATTAGGCTTTAGATGCAGAAAGGCACGGAGTTAATAAATGTCCATGGAAAACGACCACTTGTGTGTGACCAGTCAACATATGAGGAAGATGTAGCTGGGTCTAGCGATTTTGACACTCTTGATTGTGGTATAGACCTAGATAATGAAGGTAAGATATTTGATTAAATAATTTGACATTAATGATAAATTGTTAAATGTCTATAGTTTATTCTTAGAGAGTATACTTCTTTTATTGGAGAGAAAATTGTAAAAGAAAATATTATACCTCAATAATTAAGTATCTTCTAATATTTCAATAAATCTAAAATTCAAGTTTTTAAATAAAGTATGGTAAAGTGGTAAACTAATACTACCTCTGTCTAAATGGACTTTGCACTCTTTGAATTACAAGAGAAATCACAATAATAAAAATTGTGGATGCATTTTGTGCTGATAGATAAATGATCAGAAAAATAAATTCTTTACTTTAATCGGAAAGTGACAAAGTTTTTTGGGACAACAAAAAAATGAAAGTTGGGAAAGGCCAATGAGACGGAGGGAGTACCATATACTCCGTACATTATATATGCACTAAAGTATTTTCGTATTATACTATACTTGCTCCGTTTCTTAAAGGTTACAACAATAGGATTTTTTCACTATTCACGTAGATTACTTTGACTATGATTTTCTACAAATATTTATAATCAAATTATTATGTATAAAATGTTTTTAAATTTCTATTAATGTAAATTTTCAAAATATTAACATTTTATAATTTTTATTATTACTTAATAATTATATAACTACAGTCAAAGTTGTTTGTTGGCAAACGTGAAAGTCAAAGTATTGCAACTATTTAAGAACGAAGGATAGTATTATATTGACAAACAATCAAATTTAATATTAATTCACACCTACATCTAAAATCTTAAACACAGTAAATGTGTACATATAATTTGTCATTTTTTCAGAGTTTGAAGATGAAGAAATGTTTGATGACTCAATTGATGTTGACTTGGGTGAATTTGAAAATAATGGTACGTAACAGTAAATTTTCACACACTGAACATATATGTTATTGCGGTGTGAAATGTGTTCGTATCCTAAATTGTTGGTCTGTGATATTTTTAATTTTTAATTATTCAATTTTGAACAGATGACAATGCTGAATACTTGTGTTTTCAAACACAAGGTACTTACCCCTACAACTATTTTTAACTCTATTTTTAATCACATTTTGATAGTTGAGAAACATCTTTATTTTTTATATATATTCAATATGAATAATTTTTGTAGCATATGTGGATCTTGGAGATGCTACTCATGAGTGCGAGTATTGTGGAGCCTTATTCTGGTATGCTGAAAGGGTAAAGAGACATTCTGTCAAGCAACGCCCAAAGTTTTCAATGTGTTGCAATCAAGGAAATGTTGTTCTCCCTAACATGCAGCAGCCCCCTAAAATTTTAAATGACCTCATTTTTCGCTCTGAGCATCGAAGTAAGCACTTTCTGGATAACATTCGTTCTTACAATTCTATGTTTTCGTTCACTTCGATGGGTGGGAGAACGGATAGAGATATAAATAGGGGTGGAACACCTCCAATATTCAGATTGAATGGTCAAAATTACCACAAGATCGGTAGTCTTATACCAAATGAAGGACAACGTCCCAAATTCTTACAGATGTATTTGACTGATCCAGAAGAAGAGGTTGCATCTAGAATCTCATCTGTGAGGTTAGTTAATCATTATACATATTTTTGAAAGTTACTCTTTTTTTTTATTTAAACTAAAACTATACTACCTTCAATATATGAATTGTTTTCTATATTAAAATTTCAATTTCAGTATTAACAATTTCGGCTATATGCATTTTAGGACCTCCGGTGGAACCGCATTACATGATACATTAGTATCCGATTTGCGAGATATGTTGGATGCGTACAATGTTCACGCACAGTCATTTAGGATGGCCCGTGATAGGTTTAATGAGACTAACTCTATCTCTTTGAAGATGAAGCTTATTGGTAAAAGGAATTCAGATGGACGTACTTACAATACCCCTACCGCTCGTGAGGTAGCCGCACTTATAGAGGGGGACTTTAGTTTGAATCGAAAAGAGAGAGATGTTGTTCTTCAGAAGAAATCAGGAAAGTTTCAAATTATATCGGAACTGAATCCTTCTTTTCTAGGATTACAATATCCGTTACTCTTCCCCTATGGTCAAGATGGTTTTAGAGAGGATGTTAACCTGACACGTGCATCTCAAGCTACCACAAGAGGAAGAAAACATGTTACAATGAAAGAGTTCTTCTCATACAGGTTGCAAGAAAGGAAGAGTGAGTCCCCTTACATATTGAGATCGAAGAGATTATTCCAGCAATTTATTGTTGATGGATATACCATGATTGAGTCATGTCATTTGGCATATATTAGACTACATCAAAAGGACTTGCGAAGTGAACTATATACGGGATTAGCTGATGCTATCGGTCGTGGTGAAACTGACGGATCCAGATTGGGACAACTCATTGTACTTCCTAACTCATTCACGGGAAGTGCACGTTACATGATTCAAAACTACCAGGATGCGATGAGCATCTGCAAGTGGACAGGATACCCACAACTCTTCATCACGTTTACATGTAACCCAAAGTGGCCTGAAATTGTTCGCTACGTCGAGTGTAGAGGACTTGCTCCGGATGATCGTCCAGATATCATTTGTAGAATCTTCAAGATCAAACTTGAAATGCTCATAAAAGACTTGAAAGAAAATAGACTATTCGGTGAAGTTAAAGCAGGTATGAGCTGATTCTATTTATTAGTTAGTGAAGTTTTATTTAATTACATTACTATTAATACTTTTCTTCAAGATAAACAACTATAATTTCATCCAATGACAAAATAACACATAAATAATTCTATCCTATGTAGTTGTATACACTATGGAGTTTCAGAAACGTGGATTGCCACATGCTCATATTGTGTTATGGTTGACGCGAAAGGACACGACTATATTGGCATCAGACATTGACAGCATCATCTCAGCTGAAATTCCGGATGAGAAAAATGACCATGATTATTATGTTGCTGTCAAAGAGTTAATGGTGCACGGGCCTTGTGGGGTTCTGAACAAATCTTCGCCGTGTATGGAGAATGGTCACTGCACGAAACACTTTCCGAAGAAATTTGTGAGACGTACTACAATTGATGGAAGTGGATTTCCCATTTACAGAAGAAGAGACAATGGAAGGAGTGTAATGAAGAATGAGACTCTTCTTGACAATAGATTTGTCATCCCTCATAACCGTACATTACTGCTTAAGTATGGGGCTCACATTAATGTTTAGTGGTGTAATCAAACCCGGGCAGTGAAATACCTCTTCAAGTACATTAATAAGGGTAATGATCGGATCACAGTAGCATTCTCTGAGGCATCCGACAATCGTAAGGTAGAAAAGGTTGATGAGATCAAAATGTATTCAATTGTAGATATATCTCTGCATGTGAAGCGGCTTGGAGAATCTTTGGATTTCACATTCATTATAGGGACGTCGCAGTTGAACGTCTAAGCTTTCATCTCCCTGGGCAACATAGTGTGTACTATAATCCTAAAGAGTCTGTCAGTTCTGTTCTTAGACGTCCTACTATCCACACTACTAAGTTTCTAGCTTGGATGCATGCAAACAGTGTGTATCCTCAAGCTAGGAGCTTAACTTATGCTGAATTTCCTACCAAGTTCACGTGGAAAACCAAAACAAGAGAGTGGGTACCAAGACAAAGAAGCACTGCAATTGGAAGACTATACTTCATGCGACCTGGAGCCGGAGAGAAATATTATTTAAGGATGCTCCTTGGTGTCGTGAAGGGGGCCAGGAGTTTTGAAGAACTCAGAACAGTTGATGGAGTCATACACTCGACGTTCAGAGAAGCTTGCTCTGCACGTGGTATGTTAAATGACGATAAAGACTATATAGATGGACTTATAGAACAAAGTCATTGGGCAACAGCGCATGAACTTCGCGTCACATTTGTTCATCTTTTACTACAAGAGTCATTATCTATGCCCAGTATGGTTTGGGAGAAGTGTTGGCCATATCTATCTGATGATATACTCTACACTATTAGGAAGAATCTCAATGATCAAGGTATGTTTATTATTTAATGGCATTCCTAAAATTTAGATAAATTCAATAAATGCCAATATTAAGAGTGATGTAGATTTACAATATGCAAGATATTTTGAAATTAAAAATTACCTTTTCATATATATTATAGTTAACGATCATTATTCACTAATATCATTTTGAAATGATCTGCACCGTTCATATTTCTTTTCACTCCGTTTCTTTTCTAATCAACCGACCCACTCTTTTCATTTTTTTCTCTTCCTGCTCTTATCACTGATCCCTATTATTTTCTCCACCATTCTCTTATCTCTTATCTCTTATCTCCAAATTCCTTCATTTCAATGGAGCAAATGAATAAAACTTTCCCTTTTTTAGGAAGAAGGAGGTCTGCCAATAGAGAGAATTCTTTGCCGGATGAAAGAATTCTGCCAATAGATCCGCCTGCTCCATGACAAATCGTAAATTGATTTCTGCCGGAAGAAAGATTACTTGCCGGAAGAAAGTCCATAAAAAATGCTCCATGTCCGCAGGTTTTTATTCGAATTTAGTTAATTTCAAATCAACTTTCTTTAATTTCAAATCAACTTGATTTGTAATTTCTTCTCAAATTCTGTTTTACTCTTTTTGACAGTAAGTGTTTCTAGCGTTTACTGAGTTCTAAAACGACCCTAAGTGTTTCTATTCTTTTTGACAACTATTCTTGATCATTCCTACAATTCTATGGAAATTCTAGATGGATTTCTTCTCAAATTCTGTTTTTTACAAAAATTCCTTGCCGGAGGAAAGATTACTGCCACGACACCCTGAAACATCTGCAATTTTTTATACTTATTTAGTTAAATTTCGAATCCAATTTAATTAATTTCAAATCAAGTTCAATGGTAATTTCTTCAGAGCTTCTGTTTTTTTGACAATGTATTACCTTCTTTCTAAGTCCAGAACAAATTTCCCCCACATGTGAATAGATAAATTCAACCACCTTCAGAAATGATTTTTTTTAATTGATGTTTAACATTTTTATGTTTTAGTAATATTCTACTAAAAGTATGCTAATTTACATATTTTCATACATATATAATAGGATGAGCTATATTAGATATTTTTATGTATTAGAGTCCCTCAACGTAAGCTATTCCTATATAATAGGATGAGCTGCTTAACGTAAGTTTTATATATTTTTATTTATCTAAAAATTTCCCATTATTCTCCCCACACTGATTTTATAAATTTATATTCTTCTAAACTTAAAAGGAGACCTCCATACTTATCTCTCTCTAAAAAATTATCTCTCTTTTTAGGGAGGACTATTTCTCTTTTAAATAATTCCATCCCTATTTAGCATTCAATTAATGATTAGAGTCCCTCAACGTAAGCTATTCCTAAATAATAGGATGAGCAGCTTATCTCTCTTTCGATACTTCTCTCTCTGCTAACTGATTTTTTATTTACTTGAAGTGTCCTACACCAACTCTACGTCTATAGTTTTCCCATAGCTATATATAATACCCCTTACTCTAAATACATTATGTGAGACCCCTTTAGTTCCCATACCCCTTTAGTTCACAAAACAATGCCTCCCGTTAAAAAGATTTTATCTGACGTGACACTTCAACTCCAACGTCATGAAGCCTTTTTATTACGTGTTGTTCGTAAGTGGATGGTGCCATATGATGATGCACTAAGGGGCAATAAATCCATGGAATTGGTTTTAGTTGATGAGAAGGTAACAAATCCATGGAACTGGTTTTAGTTGATGGGAACTAAACCATTGAAAAATGTAAAAGTGCTGAAATATGTTTTAGTGACTTTTATTCATAGTATCTGTGTTGAATTGATTATATGCTTTTGGTTTATTTGTGATGCTATTCGTAATAAATAGCATGTGGTTTTACTTGATGAGAATGTAAAAAATCCATGGAATTTATTTTAGTTGATGGGAACTAAACCATTGAAAAATTTAAAAGTGCTGAAATATGTTTTAGTGACTTTTATTCATAGTATCTGTGTTGAATTGATTATATGCTTTTTGTTTATTTGTGATGCTATTCGTAATGAATAGCATATGGTTTTACTTGATGAGAATGTAAAAAATCCATGGAATTTGTTTTAGTTGATGTGAACTAAACCATTGAGAAATTTAAAAGTGCTGAAATATGTTTAGGGACTTTTTCTCATAGTATTTGTGCTGCATTGCTAACATGGTTTTGGTTTATCTGTGATGCTATTCGTAATGAATATGTCTGTAATGGATACTATCTGTAATGAATATTAATATATGAATGGCTTTAATGAACATATATTTGTTCACAGTTCAGAATTTAATTATCCAGTATAATGATCTTAATTTAACACCTAGCTGTGAGTCTGTGACCATCAAGCTGATATGTTAATTAAAGAACAAATCTTTAATCAAACTGATTTGTTCATCTGCTTTGTGAAAATGACAAACCATACTATTCGATGAAATGTGCTAAGTTTCTTCCATTGGATTCAATCATTAAAACTTCTAAGAAATCTAAGTATCTTATCCTACACATCTTTTATAGATATTTTTATCCAAATGATAATTGTTCTTAATGATCCTTGGAATCTTTTTATAGGAAGTTCGCATTCAAGCATCTATATCCCGTACGGAAATTCAACTATTTGAAAGCCAGTTGGAAGAAGGTGGGTTGTATGCCATGTGTAATTTCACTGTCAAGGCGAATAATGGAAAGTGGAGACCGGCATCACACCCTTTCAGGTTACAATTCCATGAAGGAACTAAGGTTAAGTGTCAGGAATTAAAAGACCATAAGGACTTTCCCCTACACATTTATAATTTTACTTCTTTCAACGATATTCACAACTGCCCTGATGGAAAAAGTACTACAGATCTCATTGGTAAGAGTTTAGTAATATAAAAATACTTATATGTAGAACTTTATAATAAACACAAATCATATAACTGCATCTATATATGGTCACCTAAATGAGTTTCTATTTCTTATTTTTAGATGTAATTGGTGTGTACAATCCCCTCGACAAATTCAGTAAGCATTATACCGATTCAGGATCAACATACACTAACTTTTATATTCGGGACATCGAGTTAAGTATATCAAATTGGCCCCGTTTCCAATTGTATGTTATTAAGATTATCTATATTTATCTTTCATTCTCATTCTTACGCTTATCTTCTTTCTTTATAGGAATAAAAGTCTCTTTTGTACTTTATGGAATGTGTATGTGGACCAGTTTGAGACGTATTTATCTCAACCGGGAACAAATCCAGTTGTTATCTTGCTACAGATGTGCCGTATTAATCCAAAATATGGTTAATTACATGCATCTATTTCTTATCATTGAGACATTATTTTTATTTTTATAGTTTTTAGTTGATAAAAACATATGCAAATATATGGCTGTTTTAGGCAGATGTTCCTCAAACGGTGTAGCTACATCTTACCATGTGACAAAACTTCTTCTTGATGCACATGTCCCAGACATAGAAGACTTTCGCCTTAGGTAAAATGATATCTAAAATATTTTTGTATTAGTTACCACTTTCAACATGTATTATTCTCAAGTCTATTATAGAATAATGTTGGGTTAAAAATGCACTAAAATCTTTATTCTGGTAATAGGTATCTGGAAACCACACGTAACACTTCTCAAGCAATAAGTCACAGTTCCTCTTTTGGTCCAGTAACCGTTGGTAGCGGTACAGAAATTGGCTTCACAATGCCATTGTCTGAATTGGAGAAAGCAGTCGAGGTAAACAAAAATACATTTTCAACGTTGTTATTCTACTTTGAAATGAAATCTGTACAACTTAGTGATTTGAAAAATGAACATTAATCTCTTAAAAGGTAATAGATCATTATAAGCTCAAGAATTAATAATTTGGAATGTAGTGATTCATTTGAGTATGTATACAGATGTGCATAAAATACATAAATTTACCTGTTACTAAAATTGTGCCTACTGCTAATATGTACACTTTTATGTGATAATAGGTTCGTGGTTGTTGGTTCTATGGTCAAATAAGTTCCATAACAAGCTATTTCACATGGGCTTATCTTGGTTGTAAAATGACCAAATGTTATAAAAAATTGAGCAAGGCTGGGAATGGAGAATTAGTATGCGACAAGTGTGGGATTCAAGTTGCTGATGGAGAGGGTGTTTGGAGATACAATTTAAGACTCAAGGCTAACCATAACAATAATTCTGCAAATTTGGTTTTCTGGGATGCTGTGAGCAATCGTTTGATTGGAAAATCTGCTGGAGATTTCCCCAGTCACTATTATGACATGGTAATGCTACCTCACAGTATACTTAATTTGCACAATTTTTTATCATTACAAATGCAAATCCATTTGATTTGATTTTAAATTTAGTAATATGAATAAATCCGACTTCAATATGTGCAATTACTCTGCATGTGTAGGAGAGGCTATCACCTTCAGGCTGCCCAGATGAAATAAAAGATTTGGTAGGTCGTGAGTTTGTCTTTAAAGTTGACCGTCAATCTGGCTCCCCTTTAAACGGAAAGAGTTATTCAATTGGTATGGTCTCAACCGATCAAGATAAAATTGAGGAGCTTAAGTCTGTTGGAGCCAATCAGTCTGGGAGACAGGTACAATTCTCTGTAATTTTACACTGACCAATGGTACACAAGATATGCACTTACATGAATTTATAATCCTATTAAATTCATTTAGGTATTCAATTATTATTGGAAAAATGATTTAGTGTAGAGATAAACTTTACTTGGGAAATTGTGAAAAATATCACACGTTTTTCTTCAATCAAAATTTACAAGAATCAGTAAGTTCTTCACTTGATTATATTATTCCTTTCGTTTTCCATGTTCACTACTCTTCTAAGAACTTGCTCATTTTTATAATAACTTTTTAATTTTAGACATTAAAATTTTATATGCTATACCACTTATGTATTTAATTTCACTTTTGGTTTGTTCATAGCAACTTTGGTCTGTTCCCAGCCAAACGCAGGTTCATATAAAACTTATCCACCTCCAGTTTAGAGGTAGTCTTCTTGAGTACAATTTTTGAAACTTCAGGCAAATTCTTTCACCTATTTTTCGAATTTAATCCCAATTAGTCCTAAAGTAATCAATTTGATGATTCTGGATACACACATTCATCAAAAGTTTTGGTGTTTAAAACAAATACAAAGGAGTACTGCCTGGATAAATATGATGAATCCTAACTTACATTCTTAATTTAACGAAATAAAGTGTACTTGAGTAATCATAATGTGTTGATTATCTGAATGATTGGGCAGATTAGTTTGGTTAGTCTATGAACTCTCTCTTAATACGTATCTCTTTGTTAATAGTAATTATCTCTACTCTAATAGATTTCATTTTTATTCTAATTACGATTACATTTATTAAAACTATATGTAAGTTGTACATTAACTTAACACACATGAAGCACCAGAATGACAAGCTGCATTCAACACAACCAAGCTTTTAGGAAATGAACTCCCCAGAAGGAAAAGTTCTATTTTAATTATTTCCATGTAACTAAATCAAACTTTTGAAATTGCACTTTTGAAATTTAAAAAAATGTGTACCTTTCCCAATTAGTTATGTAACCAGTTACTGAATAAGTATCAAATGTCATACTCACATGTTAGATTGAATAAATATTCTTAGCAAAGAAGCCTGAAAGGCTGATTGTTATTTCTATAATAATTTAATAAACGTATTCTGAAGCAGGACTATTCAACGCTCATATAATTTAATGAGTGTACTGTGATGAGGATCTTAATGAGGTCTCCTTTTAAATGTTCAGGACTATAACTCTGATGAGGATCTTGATTTACTTTTTTCTTCTCCAGTCACAGTTGAATCTAATATAGTAAGTACTTACTGTTTATTTATCCATCCGAATATGTTTGACTCTTCACTCCTAATTGACAAATGTTTGCATGTAGACACCATCTTCAACTGAAGACGACATCATAATACAAACCACCCCTTCTTCAACATTAAAGAGGCCTTCAAACGTTGAGCAACATGTTGACTCTTCTACGCAGAGTTCAACAAATAAGAAACTCAAGGGAATCAAGATTGAAAAGCCGGATGCTTGAGCATTATCTTTTCGTTTACTTTGTTCTTTTACTTTTCGGAATTAATGTTATTTATCCTGTTTATTTGTGTTTTAGTAAGTTAGCTTCTGTTTCAGACACTAGATACAGTTCCTTTTATGAACGAATAATATTCATTTGCAATTTCTAAATGCAAATGATGAATCAATATGCCAAGCTCGACTGGAATAAATCTTTTCACTTCTATATACTTCGTATTATTTTTAGGCATCGTTGCTGGATTTTGATTACTCGAATTTCGTACTATGAACTATAAGTTATATCTCATGTATAAATTATACTCCGTATTGTTCTACTCTTATTGAAATTGCTTTATATTTAAATCATGTTAGATTCTGTAGATAATGTTTATTGACTATTGAGTATTGTTTTAAACAAAAGAGACAATGTCAATTGTTATGGACTCACTTCTTAAGAAGTTAAGGGATGTTCAATGACATACATACTTATTGTGTAACCAAGAAGAAAATAATCTTTCTGTGATAATGTTTTGAGAATGGCAGTCACTAGATGACATCACCTATCACTTTTGAGAATGGCAGTCACCTAGGCTTCATGGAGCTTGACTCCACAAGCATTTTTTAAGATAGAGTTGTTGGACCAGTTCCTGGTGAAGAGTCCAGGATTGGAGGAAGTCCAATTGGACTGAGCAAAGAATCACACGTATGGAGTTATTAAATAAACTCCATTGAGTATTTGGATAACTATGATCTTCAATTGATAATATTTATCCATATTGCTTAGAAGATTGTATTTCACTACAACTACACTACTATTATTGAAAGATAACGTTGAATGAGAAGGGGAATCTACTATAATTCTATCACACTCCTATATATACCTAATATCATGTTATATATTCTTAACAACCACAACACATATAAATTAAAGTTATGTTTCTTTCAAATTGCTTTGCTATCAACTTTTGTTAACAAAGAGATATTGTGAAGGCTTGCTCCTGCAGTATAATACTTCACGTATAGTCAGGAATTACTAAATGACCAACCTTCCTCCCTTGCGGTAATAATATGTCAAGTGTCATTTTTGTTCCTATGCTACAAGGCTTATACTTTGGCTCCACCATCTTCACTCCAATCATTCAGAACTTTTATATTACAAGGTTAGTTATACTGTCTTGGTTTGTATAGAATTTAGTTTTTTTAAATACCATCGTTGATAAACCAGAAGTTATGTTTTTATAAACGAAATTGAACTTCTATACAAAATCTCACAAAACAATTTTTATTATAATAAAAACAACACTTATTTAAAAGTGTGACATTAGATATAAAAAAAACTCTTATTAGAGTTGGCCTCATATTCAACTAAATGTGGTAGTTATCTATTTTGTTAAATTTGTATCCTTAATCTAACTGTATCTATAATATTTGTATTTATATATATTTGAGGTATAATTAACCCTCAAATTTCCTTATATATTATTACTAATTAATTATATTTAAATCATAAATATACTGTTCCGAATAAAAATTCGGACTTATTAGACATTTCTGTTATTTTCAGAAAATTGTGAATAGAATTATAATAACCTTTTATTATTCAAGTATTAGTTGTACGAATCACGGGAATCTGCATACCATTACACCTTAATAAGATCTCATTTGATAAATCAATCCAATATATTTAGGTTTTCCATTTCAAGTACCAATAAATTTACACAATAAATCACGCATAAAATCATTTAGTAATACGTAGTATAAAATTTATAAAATGATTTTCTTAGTAATCCTGTGTATAGTAGACTTATTTTTAATTACAATAAAGGTTACAAGTATCATTACATTTCAGACTCTTCGTATGTTTTCTTACTATCACTATATTTGCATTTATGTACTTGCATTAGGCTTTAGATGCAGAAAGGCACGGAGTTAATAAATGTCCATGGAAAACGACCACTTGTGAGTGACCAGTCAACATATGAGGAAGATGTAGCTGGGTCTAGCGATTTTGACACTCTTGATTGTGGTATAGACCTAGATAATGAAGGTAAGATATTTGATTAAATAATTTGACATTAATGATAAATTGTTAAATGTCTATAGTTTATTCTTAGAGAGTATACTTCTTTTATTGGAGAGAAAATTGTAAAAGAAAATATTATACCTCAATAATTAAGTATCTTCTAATATTTCAATAAATCTAAAATTCAAGTTTTTAAATAAAGTATGGTAAAGTGGTAAACTAATACTACCTCTGTCTAAATGGACTTTGCACTCTTTGAATTACAAGAGAAATCACAATAATAAAAATTGTGGATGCATTTTGTGCTGATAGATAAATGATCAGAAAAATAAATTCTTTACTTTAATCGGAAAGTGACAAAGTTTTTTGGGACAACAAAAAAATGAAAGTTGGGAAAGGCCAATGAGACGGAGGGAGTACCATATACTCCGTACATTATATATGCACTAAAGTATTTTCGTATTATACTATACTTGCTCCGTTTCTTAAAGGTTACAACAATAGGATTTTTTCACTATTCACGTAGATTACTTTGACTATGATTTTCTACAAATATTTATAATCAAATTATTATGTATAAAATGTTTTTAAATTTCTATTAATGTAAATTTTCAAAATATTAACATTTTATAATTTTTATTATTACTTAATAATTATATAACTACAGTCAAAGTTGTTTGTTGGCAAACGTGAAAGTCAAAGTATTGCAACTATTTAAGAACGAAGGATAGTATTATATTGACAAACAATCAAATTTAATATTAATTCACACCTACATCTAAAATCTTAAACACAGTAAATGTGTACATATAATTTGTCATTTTTTCAGAGTTTGAAGATGAAGAAATGTTTGATGACTCAATTGATGTTGACTTGGGTGAATTTGAAAATAATGGTACGTAACAGTAAATTTTCACACACTGAACATATATGTTATTGCGGTGTGAAATGTGTTCGTATCCTAAATTGTTGGTCTGTGATATTTTTAATTTTTAATTATTCAATTTTGAACAGATGACAATGCTGAATACTTGTGTTTTCAAACACAAGGTACTTACCCCTACAACTATTTTTAACTCTATTTTTAATCACATTTTGATAGTTGAGAAACATCTTTATTTTTTATATATATTCAATATGAATAATTTTTGTAGCATATGTGGATCTTGGAGATGCTACTCATGAGTGCGAGTATTGTGGAGCCTTATTCTGGTATGCTGAAAGGGTAAAGAGACATTCTGTCAAGCAACGCCCAAAGTTTTCAATGTGTTGCAATCAAGGAAATGTTGTTCTCCCTAACATGCAGCAGCCCCCTAAAATTTTAAATGACCTCATTTTTCGCTCTGAGCATCGAAGTAAGCACTTTCTGGATAACATTCGTTCTTACAATTCTATGTTTTCGTTCACTTCGATGGGTGGGAGAACGGATAGAGATATAAATAGGGGTGGAACACCTCCAATATTCAGATTGAATGGTCAAAATTACCACAAGATCGGTAGTCTTATACCAAATGAAGGACAACGTCCCAAATTCTTACAGATGTATTTGACTGATCCAGAAGAAGAGGTTGCATCTAGAATCTCATCTGTGAGGTTAGTTAATCATTATACATATTTTTGAAAGTTACTCTTTTTTTTTATTTAAACTAAAACTATACTACCTTCAATATATGAATTGTTTTCTATATTAAAATTTCAATTTCAGTATTAACAATTTCGGCTATATGCATTTTAGGACCTCCGGTGGAACCGCATTACATGATACATTAGTATCCGATTTGCGAGATATGTTGGATGCGTACAATGTTCACGCACAGTCATTTAGGATGGCCCGTGATAGGTTTAATGAGACTAACTCTATCTCTTTGAAGATGAAGCTTATTGGTAAAAGGAATTCAGATGGACGTACTTACAATACCCCTACCGCTCGTGAGGTAGCCGCACTTATAGAGGGGGACTTTAGTTTGAATCGAAAAGAGAGAGATGTTGTTCTTCAGAAGAAATCAGGAAAGTTTCAAATTATATCGGAACTGAATCCTTCTTTTCTAGGATTACAATATCCGTTACTCTTCCCCTATGGTCAAGATGGTTTTAGAGAGGATGTTAACCTGACACGTGCATCTCAAGCTACCACAAGAGGAAGAAAACATGTTACAATGAAAGAGTTCTTCTCATACGGGTTGCAAGAAAGGAAGAGTGAGTCCCCTTACATATTGAGATCGAAGAGATTATTCCAGCAATTTATTGTTGATGGATATACCATGATTGAGTCATGTCGTTTGGCATATATTAGACTACATCAAAAGGACTTGCGAAGTGAACTATATACGGGATTGGCTGATGCTGTCGGTCATGGTGAAACTGACGGATCCAGATTGGGACAACTCATTGTACTTCCTAACTCATTCACGGGAAGTGCACGTTACATGATTCAAAACTACCAGGATGCGATGAGCATCTGCAGGTGGACAGGATACCCACAACTCTTCATCACGTTTACATGTAACCCAAAGTGGCCTGAAATTGTTCGCTACGTCGAGTGTAGAGGACTTGCTCCGGATGATCGTCCAGATATCATTTGTAGAATCTTCAAGATCAAACTTGAAATGCTCATAAAAGACTTGAAAGAAAATAGTCTATTCGGTGAAGTTAAAGCAGGTATGAGCTGATTCTATTTATTAGTTAGTGAAGTTTTATTTAATTACATTACTATTAATACTTTTCTTCAAGATAAACAACTATAATTTCATCCAATGACAAAATAACACATAAATAATTCTATCCTATGTAGTTGTATACACTGTGGAGTTTCAGAAACGTGGATTGCCACATGCTCATATTGTGTTATGGTTGACGTGAAAGGACACGACTATATTGGCATCAGACATTGACAGCATCATCTCAGCTGAAATTCCGGATGAGAAAAATGACCATGATTATTATGTTGCTGTCAAAGAGTTAATGGTGCACGGGCCTTGTGGGGTTCTGAACAAATCTTCGCCGTGTATGGAGAATGGTCACTGCACGAAACACTTTCCGAAGAAATTTGTGAGACGTACTACAATTGATGGAAGTGGATTTCCCATTTACAGAAGAAGAGACAATGGAAGGAGTGTAATGAAGAATGAGACTCTTCTTGACAATAGATTTGTCATCCCTCATAACCGTACATTACTGCTCAAGTATGGGGCTCACATTAATGTTGAGTGGTGTAATCAAACCCGGGCAGTGAAATACCTCTTCAAGTACATTAATAAGGGTAATGATCGGATCACAGTAGCATTCTCTGAGGTATCCGACAATCGTAAGGTAGAAAAGGTTGATGAGATCAAAATGTATTATGATTGTAGATATATCTCTGCATGTGAAGCGGCTTGGAGAATCTTTGGATTTCACATTCATTATAGGGACGTCGCAGTTGAACGTCTAAGCTTTCATCTCCCTGGGCAACATAGTGTGTACTATAATCCTAAAGAGTCTGTCAGTTCTGTTCTTAGACGTCCTACTATCCACACTACTAAGTTTCTAGCTTGGATGCATGCAAACAGTGTGTATCCTCAAGCTAGGAGCTTGACTTATGCTGAATTTCCTACCAAGTTCACGTGGAAAACCAAAACAAGAGAGTGGGTACCAAGACAAAGAAGCACCGCAATTGGAAGACTATACTTCATGCGACCTGGAGCCGGAGAGAAATATTATTTAAGGATGCTCCTTGGTGTCGTGAAGGGGGCCAGGAGTTTTGAAGAACTCAGAACAGTTGATGGAGTCATACACTCGACGTTCAGAGAAGCTTGCTCTGCACGTGGTATGTTAAATGACGATAAAGACTATATAGATGGACTTATAGAACAAAGTCATTGGGCAACAGCGCATGAACTTCGCGTCACATTTGTTCATCTTTTACTACAAGAGTCATTATCTATGCCCAATATGGTTTGGGAGAAGTGTTGGCCATATCTATCTGATGATATACTCTACACTATTAGGAAGAATCTCAATGATCAAGGTATGTTTATTATTTAATGGCATTCCTAAAATTTAGATAAATTCAATAAATGCCAATATTAAGAGTGATGTAGATTTACAATATGCAAGATATTTTGAAATTAAAAATTACCTTTTCATATATATTATAGTTAACGATCATTATTCACTAATATCAAAAAATTGAAACTTTTTATTGTAATAAATTGCATATTGATCTCAGGGTAAAATTTACTCTTATGTCATAGATAATTTTTAAATATGAAGTACTTCTCTTAAAAAGTGTTCAAAAATAGTTCAATATATATAATTTAATAAACTATTTTTTAGATAGTAGTTGGTTTAATAATTTGTTTCCACAACATCATATTTAAAGATGTGTTGTTTGTTTATGATACACACAAATTTAATTATTTAAGCATTTAGAAATTTAAAAAATATTCTAATTACTTCTTAAATTTATTAATATTAAAATTGCACTAACCATTATGTTTTTTACAGAACTGCAGCTTGATGAGAAGCAAATAAAGAATTATTGTTTGTTGGAAGTTGAAAAACTTCTACAACATCGTGGAAAGTCTCTATTCTACTATGACGGAATGCCTCGAGTGACGGATCTTGACATTCCCTCTCTCGATGATGTTTTGATACACGAGGAATTGAGATATGACAGACTTGCTTTGGCGGAGGAACATGCTAAATTAATTTCCGCCTTGACGGAGGATCAAAGGCGTGTTTATGAGACAATAGTGAGTTCTGTAGAGGCCAACCGTGGCGGTGTGTTCTTCTTATATGGGCACGGCGGTACAGGGAAAACATATCTGTGGAAGACCTTATCAGCATATAAGGCATCAAGGAAATATTGTGTTGAACGTAGCTTCAAGTGCGATCGCATCATTGCTCCTTCCAGGTGGAAGAACGGCACATTCCAGGTTCGCTTTTTTGGTTTAAAACTTATAACTCCAAATAAATACTAACAAAATGAATTGTAACTTCTAGGTTTAAAATCCCACTCACAGCAGCAGAAGATTCAACTTGCAACATAAAGCCAGGAAGTGCACTTGCGAAGCTAATTCAAATGACGAAATTGATTATTTGGGACGAGGCACCCATGATTAATAAGTACTGCTATGAAGCTCTTGATCGAACCATGCGGGATATTCTTCGACATTCATACGGTTGTGATGGGAGCAAACCTTTTGGTGGAAAGACAATTGTCTTTGGCGGAGACTTTAGACAGATTTTACCGGTAATTCCAAAGGGTAGCAGGCAAGAAATTGTGCTGGCGACTTTAAACTCATCCTTCATTTGGCCCTTTTGCAAGGTACTAAGGCTAACGAAGAACATGAGAGTGCGAAGTGGATCAGACGATGTTAACTCTGCATACATAAAAAGGTTCATTGATTGGATTTTAAAGATAGGGGACGGAGTTCTAGGTGACAATGAGGATGGAGAATCATATATTGACATACCTGAAGAATTCCTCGTGCCTTGGATTTCTGATCCAGTTACTTCTATTGTCCAGAGTACATATCCCAATTTCTTAGCACAATGCACATCACCATCATATTTAATGTCAAGAGCAATACTTGCGCCAACCGTTGACGAGGTGGACAAGGTTAATGATTACATGCTCGCACAACTACCATCAGAGATGAAGACATATTTCAGCTCCGATTCTGCATCATTATCTGATTCTGATAGTAGTTTGTTGCAAGAGATCCATTCTCCAGAATTCCTTAATGGAATCAAATGTTCCGGAGTACCTAGCCATGAGCTCAAATTAAAAGTGGGTGCCCCTGTGATGCTTATGAGGAATCTTGATCAATCATTGGGTTTGTGTAATGGCACTCGACTTTTAGTGACCCGATTTGGAAAGCATGTTATTGAGGCCCAAATGTTGTCAGGGCCAACTGCCGGCCAAAAACATTTCATTCCCCGTCTTACCTTGACTCCTTCTGATGTCAGACTGCCATTCACCTTTCAGCGTAGACAATTCCCTCTGATGGTTAGTTATGCTATGACTATAAATAAGAGTCAAGGCCAGTCATTGGAAAATGTGGGGATATTCTTACGGCGACCGGTTTTCACCCATGGGCAGCTTTATGTTGCTGTATCAAGAGTCACGAGTCCAACTGGTTTGAAGTTTTTGATATGTGACGATAATGGTAGACCGACAAACTCCACTTTAAATGTTGTATACAAAGAGGTCTTTAACAATTTGTAATATTACATTTTGTCTTGAATAAAATTGAGAGCTTTTTATTTCAAATCAAAAGACACATGTTATGCATTCATTTAGGAAAATAATTAAATTACTATAAAATAATATATAATAATGTTTTAGCCCATGTTGGGAGAAAATATATATTAATATCGAATAAATTAAAATGGCCTTTTCACTCCCGTGCAACGCACGGGAGAAAATACTAGTATGCATAATTTGTGATCAAGCTTATCTTTATTTATATATATTGAAGATATGGATCATTCAAATGATAAAGAGCTGTCTGATAGACAGCGCCACAACGCACACCATTTTGAGAAATAAAATATATTTTTCTCAAATGACTTTAGTTGAAGCTAAAGTCAATACCATATCAGGTGTTGCGAAGCTCATTGAAGGCTCTGGGAAAGCATATGTGATGCTCCCTAACGGGACCAAAATAATTATAAATGATGCTTTATACTCCAGCAAATCGCGGAGGAATTTATTAAGTTTTAAAGATATGCGTCAAAATGGTTATCACATAGAAATTGTGAATGAAAACCAAAAGGAATATCTTTGTCTAACGACAACTAAATCTGGCACTAAATGTATTTGTGAAAAAATGCCAGCATATTCCTCAGGACTATATTTCACTCATATTAGTCCATTCGAAATAAATTTGGTTTCTAACACAAAGTTAGATGATCAGAAAATATTCATGTTGTGGCACGACCGTTTAGGTCACCCAGGCCAGGTAATGATGCATAAAATCATTAAGACTTCACTTGGACATCCATGAAAGAATATCAGGATTCCATTATCAAGTGATTTTCCTTGTAAGGCCTGTTCTCTTGGCAAAATGATTTTCCTTCATTTTTGTAAGGCCTGTTCTCAAGGAGATATTTGTGGGCCGATAGTCCCACCATGTGGACCATTTCGATATTTTATGGAGTTGATTGATGCTTCAACACGTTGGTCACATGTTAGTCTTTTATCGACAAGAAATCTAGCATTTGCTAAACTCCTTGCTCAAATCATAAGATTAAGAGCTCATTTTCCGGATCATTCTATAAAAAGAATCCGACTTGATAATGCAGGGGAATTTTCATCCCAATCATTTAACGACTATTGTATGTCGATTGGGATTGATGTGGAGCACCCTGTTGCTCATGTCCATACACAAAATGGTCTTGCTGAATCATTGATTAAACGATTACAATTAATCGCTAGACCATTATTAATGAAGTGTAATTTACCTTCATCAGTTTGGGGACATGCTATTTTACATGCATCAAATTTAATTCGGCTTAGACCGACTGCATATCATGAATATTCCCCAAAGCAGTTAGTTACTGGACAAGAGCCAAACTTATCACACATTAAGATATGTGGTTGTGCTGTTTATGTTCCGATTGCTCCACCTCATCGTACAAAAATGGGTCCTCAAAGAAGGTTGGGAATTTATGTTGGATTTGAATCTCCCTCAATAATAAAATATCTCGAACTGATGACTGGTGACTTATTCACAGCACGGTTTGTAGACTGTCATTTCAACGAGACAGTGTTCCCAACCTTAGGGGGAGAAAATAACAAATTAGACCCAACTACGAAAGAAATTACATGGAATGCAACAGGATTATCACATCTCGATTCAAGATCAAATATATGTGAGCAAGAGGTGCAAAAGATAATCCATTTAAAAAATGTTGCAAATCAGTTGCCTGATGCATTCACAGATACAAAGAAAGTGACAAAGTCACATATTCCTGCCATGAATGCCCCTGCCAGGATCGAAATCTCGGCAGAGAATTCTGAAAAATCTCTTGCGAATGATTCTTCTATACGCAAAAAGCGTGGCAGGCCACTTGGATCAAAAGATATAAAACCATGAAAAATTAAAAGGCATGAATTGATCTGTGATGCCAAAGAAGTTCATCCTTCTGAACAAGAAAATGAACAATTTTAAAATACTGGCATAGGAAATGATGTTGATAAAACAGACATCTCAAATGATGATCCAACTTCCTTAAACGAGGAAGATATTCCAGATAATGATAGAAACGTTGATAATTATGAAATTTAAATAAATTACGTTTCTACTGGAATACAATGGAATCGAAAAGATATTGATATTAATGAGACATTTGTCTATGCCGTTGCCACAAATGTTATGAATGAAAACAATGACAATGAGCTAAAATCAATTGAAGAATGTCGGAAACGACACAATTGGCCAAAATGGAATGAAGATATTCAGGCTGAATTAAAATCACTTGAAAAATGAGAAAAATGAAATTGTAAGATATAAAGCCCGGCTTGTTGCCCAAGGGTTTTCTCAAATGCCGGGAATTGATTATGAAGAAACCTATTCTCCAGTAGTTGATGCAACTACATTAAGGTTTCTCATTGGCATGTCTGTTTTTGAAAGGCTGCAAATGCGCCTAATGGATGTAGTGACTGCATATTTATACGGTTCACTTGATACAGACATTTATATGAAAGTTCTCGGAGGGTTTAAAATGCCTGAAGCTTGCAACTCGAAACCACGAGAAATGTTTTCCATTAAACTACAAAAGTCATTGTATGAACTAAAACAATCTGGACGAATGTGGTATGATCGTCTCAGTGAATATCTTCTCAAAGAAGGATACAAGAATGATCCGATTAGTCCATGTTTTCATTCGGCGATCAAATTCGAGATTCATCATAATTGAAGTATATGTTGATGAGTTAAACATTATTGGAACTCCCGATGAAATTGAAAATACTGCAAAATATCTTATGAAAGAATTTGAAATGAAAAATCTCGGGAGAACCAAATTTTGTCTAGGACTTCAAATTGAGCATTTGAAGAATGAAATTTTCATCCATCAATCCAATTACACCGAGAAAGTTTTGAAGAGATTATATATGGGCAAAGCTCATCCGTTGACTTCACCAATGGTGATTAGATCTCCCAACATACACGATGATCCATTCCGTCCCGAGAAGACAACGAAGAAATACTCGGTCCTGAAGTACCATATCTGAGTGCTATTGGAGCTTTAATGTATTTAGCTAATAATACTAGACCAGATATTACATTTTCTGTAAATATATTAGCTAGATACAGCTCATGCCCAACAAGGCGTCATTGGAACGGGATCAAGCACATATTCCGTTATCTCTGTGGTACAGTTGATCTCGGTCTATTCTACCACAAAGATGCAAAAGCCACTTTAATCGGATGTGCAGACGTTGGATACTTATCAGATCCTCAAAAGGTTAAATCACAAATCGGGTACGTATTTACTTATGGTAACACCGCAATCTCATGGAGATCTATGAAGCAGACATTGACAGCTACATTATCAAATCATTCCTGGTTAATTGCACTATATGAAACCAGAAGAGAATGTGTATGGTTGTGATCTATGATTCAACACATCCAAAATGAATGCGGTATGAAGCCTATTACTATTCAACCTACTGTGATCTACGAAGACAACACTGCGTGCATAGCTCAGATTAAAGAAAGTTACATCAAAGGTGACAGAACAAAACACATATCACCAAAAATCTTCTCTACTCACGATCTAGAGAAAGAACGGACGATCAACATTCAACAAATCAGATCCAGTGAAAATTCGGCCGATCTCTTCACCAAATCTTTACCCCCGAAGAAGTTCATAGAATTTGTACAGAAAATCGGCATGCGACGTCTTCATAATTTATGCTAAATTCAGGGGGAGTATTTGAATGCACTGCACTCTTTTTTCCTTCATCAGGTTTTTATCCCACTGAGTTTTTCCTGATAAGGTTTTTAACGAGACGGTACATCCAAATACAATGACATTGTAAATCACAAATCTTACCCCTTAACTTTAATTATTTTTATAAATAAATTTTAATATAATCAATACCTATTCAAGGATGAACATTCAAGGGAGAGTGTCGTAAATTCCTGAGAATAACAAGTGTGAATTGTTCATCCTTGTCATCTGGACACTAATCCAATTCCAATCCTTGTAATAGACAGATGACTAAGTTTAATGTTGCCAACAGATTTTTTAGAATCATTCTTTGATGATTCATCTCCTGGCCAACTAATATAAATAGGGTGATCAATCCTTTGTAAATGTAACTTAGAAATTTCAGAAAATATTAAGAGATTGAGAAGAAGATATTCAGAGCTTTTATTAATATATCTATCTCTTAAGTTTAATCTTCATCTTCTTCATTTCACAACAAATAAGAATTTGTTTGGGATTTTCTATTTTCGTCCAACTTTCTCATCAAATTCATAACTTTTGACTTTATACTCTGAAATGTATAATAATCAAAATAAATATGGTTGAAGTTTTTTGGGTTGAAACTACCATAGAAGATCATTTTATCTTTTTTTTCTTTATTAATAAAATATATTTTAAATATGTTTTTCATAATCCAACCAATTTAGCCGCTTCAGTCAGAATTTAATCAATTTCAACAGAGTTAGCCAATTTGGTCTAGTTAAATTTTACCAAACAGGTTTCAACTCCACGTGAATGCGACTCTAATGGACTAACACACTGACAAATTAATTAACAAATACTGAAACAAACAACATATACTCAGTATAACATTACAATATAATTTATCAGAGAATTTTTATACTAAAAATTGGTGATCACTCACCGGTCATACATGTTGCAAATGATCGAATTGAAGAGATCTCAAATAAAAGGCAGAGATGGTCAATCATCGGGATAATTAATGTCCCTCGCAAATTATACCGTTCAACCGGCGCACCATGAGGATGGTGCGCCCGGTTCCAAAACGACGCAGCTTCACTCTCTTTCTTTTTTTTTTTGCTTTTGTTGTTTAAAAATGATGATAACTTTCTTATTTTTGATCCGATTTTTATAAAATTTATATCAACATTTTTTATTTTTCATGATCTTTCAAATGAGACCAATATTGCTTATGTAATGTTAAGAAATTATCGAACTATTATATTAATGAGTATCGGATTATAAGGAAAATCGAATCTGTTAGGAAGATGATAGGTTTGTGAAATAGAAGATTGAATCTGTTTGGGAGTGGATCAGTGGCCTCAGTTACATTTGATAATACATTGAGTTACATCTTTTTATGAGCGAGTTACATCTTTTTATAAGCAAGTTACATCTTTTTATAAGCAAGTTACATCTTTTTATAAGCAAGTTACATCTTTTTAAAAGCGAGTTACATATATATAAACACGAGTTGCATTTGACATGCCTGAACGCGACTTACATATATTTACACGTAAAGTTACATATTTTTACACGTAAAGTTACATATTTATACACGCGAGTTACATATTTATACACACGAGTTGCATTTGACCTGTCTGAACGCGAGTTACATATTTTTTTACGTAAAGTTACATATTGTTACACGTAGAGATACATATTTATACACACGAGTTGCATTTGACCTGACTGAACGTGAGTTACATATTTTAACACGTAAAGTTACATATTTTACACGCAAATGTTAATATGTTAAAATTACATAGGCAATATTGGTCTCATTTGAAAGATCATGAAAAATATAAAATATTGATATAAATTTTATAAAAATCGGATCAAAAATAAAAAAATTATTACCATTTTTTAAAAACAAAAGGAAAAAAAAAAAATATATAACCGTACCGGTATACGGTGCTCACCGTATACCGGTCGTACGGTATAGGAACTCGTCCCTCAACACGTGACCTGTCCTAAATCAACATATTTCTTACGCAATTGTTAATTAAGTGATATGAATGTATGTTTATGTTGTAGCAAATCAATATATAGTTACCTTAATATTATTTGTATAAATAGTTCTTTGAATAAAATTAAAATAGTTTGAATAAAACTAAAAAGGCTGCGTTAAATTTATATTGAAATTATTTTGAATTTAAAGTCGTTAAATTATGCTATTTGGCAACAGTTCTCATATAATTATTTGAATGTAAAGTCCTTAAATTATGCTATTTGGCAATAGTATAATTTTAAATGGTTGGCGATGAAATTATTCTTCAAGAGAGATATAAATACGGAGTAGTAGATAGTACTCCGTATAATTTAAGCATAATTTAATGACCGTATAACAAATACCTCTTCCATCCCACAACCATAATTTAAGTGACACACAAACCAATAAAAAGTGTTTATGTGATTAATATTGAATTGATAAAGTAAGAATAAATTAAAAATGATTTAGAGACAAATAAACTTTACCAAATTTGGTTTGTGACAATCTTAATGGAACGGACCGAAAAGGTAAAACGGAACAATCTTAGCGGGACGGAGGAAGTTATACAAATTTATAATTGGCTATGATTAGTTCATAATATAAATTAATTATATTTGACTTTGGATTCTCCGAATAATTTACAATATCTATTACTGAGTTGCAGTTTCCATTTTATTCCATTTTATATATATACACGATAGTATAAAGGATACGCAGTAAAGGAGAAGGGCGAAGAGCAAAACTAGAGAAGAAATGGGAGGAAAAGGGCAACATATTATATTGCTTCCATTGCCTTTACAAGGCCACATCAACCCAATGCTTCAATTCTCCAAACGTTTGGCGTCAAAGGGTGTGCGGGTCACCATCCTCGCGCCGGCGTTTCTCCGAAATTCGTTGCAGACAAACTCCGGCGACGGCTTGATCCGTCTGGAGCCAATTCCCGACAGCTATAAGCCACCCGACAGCATTGATGAATGCCTCGGATGGTTCGAAACCAAGGTTACGCCGAGTTTCAGTAATGTCATCGAGAAACTAAACGGCGCCGGAGCCGGATGCCCGCCGGCGAAGGTCGTCGTTTACGACTCAATCTTGCCGTGGGCTCAAGACTTGGCCCGGAAACACGCCCTTCAAGGCGCTGTGTTTTTTACCCAATCGTGCGCTGTCTGCGGACTGTACTACCTTGTGTACAGAGGAAGGCTCCCTGTTCAGGCGGAGAATTCCTCCGGCGTCTCGCTGCCGCCGGCCTTCCCGGAGATGGGGACTCGAGACTTTCCATCATTGATGATGGAGAGCGGTGCTCAAGCATATCCTTGTCTTTCGAAAATGATCGTCATCCAGAGTGTTAATATTCAAAAAGCTGATTGGATGCTGTTTAATACCTTTGACAGTTTGGAGAAGGAGGTAAACTTGCCATTTCCATACACTTCGGTCTTAGTATTGGACAGGGGTAATTCCCTACATACGAGTAAAACATTGCTAATAGTAGGACTCGGTAAAATGATTTGGTTTGATTGAGCCGAATCGAACTGAAAATCGGTGGTTTTGTTTGGTTAGGTTTGGTTTGGTTTGAGTTTACTTAAGTAAACCAAACATTTTGGTTTGGTTTAGAACCGAAAAATCGTAAATCGAATCGGAAAAACAAAACTTGTAATACATATAAATACTTTGTATTTTCTTTACTCTTCATCTTTAGGATATAAATAAGGTGACAACTCCGGTACCTTTCAAAAAAATGGGGTACCGTACCTATCATTCATTTGATTGGATCACATCACTTTATCATTTTTAATTTAGATTTAAATAGTCAACTGCTACATTCTCATGGGTCCATGTGGACAAAGGTACGGTACCTTATGGGTACCATAAAATCATTTTAACTTTTACATATTTCATATATTCATTATGACAAAGTTAGCTAATACCACGTAAGATATATTTGTATTTGTTATGTTTTGTACTTTACAAGTATGAAAAGATATTTGGCGATAACAATAGCAAATTGAATTTATATTTTTTACATGATTACTTTGAATAAAATTGAGAATATTACAATATTTGCTCCACGTAGGGTTGTAAATGAACTGAATCGAGTCGAATATTGTGATTTTGTATTTGTATTTCTTTAATTTTTTCGAATACGAATCAGGATTCGAATATGAAACAAATATTAATTTCGATTTGTATTTGTATTTGTTTAACAATACAAATATTTAACGAATTATATACGAATATCGAATCAATTTGATCATAAGTTAAATAGTCAAATATCACTTTAAAACGACTTTTCCTATATTCTTTATGTTATAAATGCATGTTATGACTTAATATGTGTTTTTAGAATTTAATTTGTAACATTACGTTTTTCTTTAAAATTTAATGGATCACTGCATTTTAGGTTGTGCGCAATATACTAAAAAGAATCAATTTTAGGATTACTATACATAAATATATTTCATAGTTTTTGAAATGAACACTAACACACACATTAAAAATTATACCTATAATGTGTGAACTAAGTTTATAATTGTATATATCAAGTCAAAGTTTATGTTAGATATTTAGCATTGTTGATAATAAAAAACATCATTAGATATATAGTGTATACTACACACATATATAGTGGATAGTTGATGCACACACACATACTAGATAGTTGATTTTGTTGATGTATAAACAAATATATATTTGATTATTCTTCGAATCAAATAAATAACTATTTGTATTCATATTTTAAAGAAAAAATTGAAAATAATAATCTCAACTATTACATGTTCACTATTAATAATCCCAACTATCGATTATTCCTGAGTGATCCCAACTATAGGGACCATTTTCCAAAAATAGTCCCTAACCTGCTACAACTTGGTATAGCAATTCAAATTTAAATGCAAACTATGCATAAACTATAAATAATACCAACTATAGTTGATCATCTTTTATTAATCCAATTATCAACTCTCAATTTTAGAAAAATATAAAAATATTTTTTTAACTTTTCAACTTAAATATTTTTAAAAATGTCAAAAATCATTATGAAAATTTTACAAATGTACCAAAGTTAAATAAAATAGTTTTAGTCATTTTTTTATTTATTTTCAATAATTGTTTTTTGCTTTTTTCCAATTTATTATTCCCAATTGTGTTAACAAGTTATGATTTGGTATTATTTTCTTTTATTCAGTTTTACATTTTCTGTTTTTCAAAAAGTAAGATGTGACTATTTTTTATAATTGAAAGCTTTAATCTAGTTTTTTTCATGAAAATATATTTAATTTAATTTTAATGCTACCGTAATAGTTTTCATGAAAATATTTTTTATCTATTTTATCCATTTTAGTATTTGTTACTTCTTTCAATTTTCTTTATTTGATATTATTGTATTTTATAAATTATAAGATATAGTTTATTGTTAAATTTTAGTGATTCGGGGGGAATAGGTTTTGGAGGTTTTGATTATTTTTAATGAAAATATATTAAAATTGTAATTTTAAATGATATAATGGAAATCGTAAAATATGTAGAAAAACTTTATCACTTAAAATTAAAATATTAATTCATTTTCATTAACATAGCCAAAACCTCCAAATCCTATGTCCCAAATCACTAGAACTCAATGATAAACTATATCATATAATTTATAGAATATAATAACATCAAATAAAGAAAATAGAAAGAAATAAAATACTAAAATTGAAAAAATCGAGAATTTTGATTTTTACAATTAAGAAGATAGCATAAGAATTTAATAAAATAGATTTTCATGACAAAATCTAGAATAAAGATTTAAATCATAATTTTTTTAATCACTATATACTTTTTGAAAATACAAAATGTAAAATTGAATAAAGGAAAATAATACAAAATGACATGTAGAATAAAAAAACATGGCATTTTTTGAATTTGTATAATACATATTACAAATTAGAGTTTCAGCCTAAAAAATAAATTTGATAGGAGGTTCGCTAAAAGTCTTATACGTAGTATGCTATTATTGTATCTTGATATTTGACTTGTGTAGGATGTCCTCACATGCCCACACAAGAGTGTGACTCTTTTGGATAGACCAATCTTGAAGTATGTATGCTCGTTGTTAAGGTTTACCATAATCTAATTTCTAATTAGAGTTTAATTGGTTCTGATATAATGTTAAAATCTGAGTTAAACCTGATGGAAGGATAAAATAGGCTGAAATCTTTAGCCTAATATTAATTAGGATATAATGGGTGTTTTGAACTAAAAAAGTTCATTTTTTAATAATCTAGGATTCAATATTTGATATCAGATTTTTTCTCTAAAAAGTTCATATCACAGATACTGATTAGGTCTAAATTTAATATAAGTCCTAATTATATATTTTCTTGTTTTACTAGTATGTATGCATATATATGAAGTAAATAATATGGAAAATGTTCCTTTATATATAGGTGGTGGACTGGATATCAAGTGAAGCTCGAATCATGACAATAGGACCAACAATTCCATCCATGTACTTGGACAAAAGGTTAGAGGCTGATAAAGACTATGGCATGAGCATGTTTAAGCCAAACAGTGAAGCTTGCATAAAATGGCTTGACTCTAGAGAAACTGCTTCTGTTGTTTACGTCTCTTTTGGGAGCTTAGCCACCTTAGGAGAGAAACAAATGGAGGAACTTTTTCATGGGTTGATTAAGAGCAATTGCCATTTCTTATGGGTAGTGAGAGGCTCAGAGGAAAGTAAGCTCCCAAAGACTCTTCTGAAACCTGAAAAATCATTAGAGAAAGGTTTAATAGTGAATTGGAGTCCTCAACTCAAGGTTTTGTCTCATTCCGCCATCGGTTGCTTCATGACTCACTGCGGATGGAACTCAACGCTTGAAGCATTGAGTCTGGGAGTTCCATTGGTGGGCATGCCACAATGGACTGATCAACCTACCAATGCAAAGTACATAACTGATGTTTGGCAAGTGGGAGTAAGAGTTAGAGTTGGTGATGATGGAATTGTAAGAAGTGAAGAAATAGAAAGGTGCATAAGACATGTCATGGTTGGGGAGGCAAGTATCACTCTTAAGAGAAACGCTTTGAAATGGAGAGATTTGGCTAAAGAGGCTGTTAATGAAGGAGGAACCACTGACAAAAGCATTGATGAATTTCTCTCAAGCATGGATGCACTAGACATTGGAAAAGAAGCCATTTGATTGATCAAATATAATATTATGCACATATTGTGTGTACACGTGCGTGTGTGATTAAATGTTAAATAATGTAATGCAAAACATTCTTTTGCATGAAATATCAATAACACATATGGGTATACTCCCCATTCTCCCTCCTTTATATGATTGTATTGTTATTCAAGATTATTCAAAATTGGCTAATTGTGTCCATATATTTTTCATTTTAAAAAAACTCCCAGATTTGCATATTTTAACTGTTTGATTGATTTTTACAATTATGATGATTCTCGTATGGCTCTGTAGAAATGAATTTTCTTGATGGTTGTGGTTGTCCCTGATCTGATCAATAAGTTTATTGATTTGATGAGTGAATGCCATACATGCATTGATCTATAGAATCTTTATATTCAACTCTGAACCTTCGTCTTTATATCTGGTCTGGTGTTGGTCAGATACAATAATCTGCCTTTGAGTCTTCTAAAAGTAGTTGGGTCATTTAGAAGAATCCCATCATCAGCATGAAGTTTGAGAGAAGCATCAGAAGGTGTAGATGCTGGTTTTGATCCAAGTAATCCAAACTCATCAATGAGTTCTAAGCAGTACTTCCTTTGATTCAGAATTATCCCCTTCTGAGATATAGCAAGTTCCAGTCCTAGGAAAAATCTTAGAGGACCAATGTCTTTGATTTCAAATTTGTGATGGAGATAGTTTTTAACAGATTCAATCTCTGCCAAATTATTATCACTCAGAATGATATCATCTACATATACCAGTAGAATGGTAATAGAAATTCCTTGAGTTTTGATGAACAAAGAATGATCTGCTGAACTCTGTTTGTATCCAATTCAAGATAAAGAAGTTTAGAATTGAGCTTTTGATTCTAGTTTCTACCAGCCTGCTTTAATCCATAAAGGGATTTCTATAATTTGTAGACAAGATGTGATAGTCCCTATTCTTTAACAATCAAACAACCATAACAGATAAAGAAGAAGCAGATAGAAAGATATGGAGAAGATGAACAATGAATCTGGTATACAGTGTAAAGGGCCGTTGCTCTCCCTCGAGAAGGAGAGCAGCGGAAAACCTACTCTCTATCTTGCCTCTAACTCTCAAAGCCTCGAATCCTTCACGATACTTAGGGTTTCCATAAGTTAGCCTCCTTTTATAGGAGAAGTTGGCTAACTTATGGATTACAAAGAAGTTAATGGGTTGATATACATTTGTGACCCATATTACACGTTTAACTAATAACTACACAAATACAAAGATATTTAATTAGATTGGACACCATAAAATATTCCTAACAATCTCCCCCTTGGTGTTCAATCGTGTTGAATCAGCATTGCAGTGTAGATATCTTTGCCTTTGTTGTTATTCAGCTTCTTTTGTCTTTGAACTTGACTTCTTAAGAAGGCTTTCTGAAGAAATCCTTGCTATCTCCCCTTTGATGTCTTCTTGGCAATTTGAACTTTGATGCCGGGGGTTGAGGAATATTTCTTTGGCTTGCTTGTAAACCTTACCTTCAGAAGTAGCTCTTGATCAGCTTGAATGAAGTCTGGTGGCGCCTCTAGAATGAATGTGATGGATAGTGTACCCAGGGGCAGCTTATCCGAGGGGTTATTACGGGGAATAACCTAGAGAGAAGTCAGAGCAATAAGTAAGAGAGAGAATATATATTCGAGTATGAATGTTCCTCTTTTACAATGGAAAGTGGCTGATATATATAGTAGCCATAAATGCTAGACAAGGACATGTGTCAAACATCTGACGGCCGGGGGTCACCTAAATCAGGGTGGCACCGGCATTTACATGTGCACCGCATTAAATGCGGTGGTTGAACGTGACGCCGCATTAAATGTGGTGGTTGCTTGTCCCTAAAAGGAATCTTTGCTGAGTCTGCAGTATGCTGAGGGCTCTGTTTAGGCGAAGACTTTGATGTAGCCGAGGGCGACCCTGTGGCCGAGGGCTCTATGAAGCCGAAGGCCCCTGTGAGCTGAGGGCTCCTGATTTCATCTCCTTCTCCCAGTAACTTCGTGTGTAGAAGATCAATTTTTTCCTGGAGTTTGAAGCCCTCGGCCAAGGAGTCTGAAGGCACTCACATGTGTATTTATGGGCTCCTTGATACTTGGGCTGCCACGTCTGGGCTTGCTGTGCTCATTGGGCTTGATGGGCCTGAACAGGAGAAGTAGGAGTCTGTGGGCCGGGGGTCAAGGCCGGTCCTTGGGGGAGGGAAACAGGGGCGACCGCCCTAGGCCCGAAAATATAGAGACAAAAATAGGCCCAAATTTTGTCTTCATATATAGTGTGAGTAGGCTTTTTATATTTATTTTTAAGTTCAATTATTTAATTTTTCTCCTAATTTTAAATTTTGTTGTCAATTTGAAAAAATAAAACATAATTAAAATGTCATAAACGAAGCCAAGTTTAAAAAACAAATACATAGTATACACTAGTTTAAGTAGGACCAGTTGTAATTTTTTAAAGCAACACAATGAATCAATAAAAGATATGTCCCTTGAGTTTTCAACATCTCTTTAGCTTTTTATGTTTTGATGTTAATTCTTTTAAGCGAGTATTGACTATTTTTCTTCACATCTGCAAGAAACGATTTAAGTATTTTTTTTATGTAATACTTGTGTCGTTACGTTTGTCCAAATATGTAATTTAAATCACATTTTTCATGATCTTTATTAGATATTTTTGTTATAATTCAAATTTTAAATATGTATAGTTTACAGTTTATCTTATGTATAAGCCCAGTATAGTATATCTTGCCCATAGGCCCAAAAAATATCAGGACCGGCCTTGCCGGGGGTCCTTGGGCCATATACTCCATCAGGAGTCCCCCACTCATTTTGCCGAAAGGTATTTGAGGGAAAAGGATTAGTTGTGGTGATTGCCCCGAAGGCTTCCCTGTTTTGTTGGGTGCCTCAGATTCCTTGCTTTCACATGTCAAGGGCTGAGGGCTCCCTGAAGGGAGTGCAAGTGTGTTGCTCGCATGTGTTGTGGGCGGAGGCTGCTTTTTCATCCTTGGTACTTCTGTAATATTTTGACAATTTGTGTTTACTAAAGGGTGTATCGACCATTCATACCTGAGGGATTGTGTTTATTATTTTTCCCGGAGGCTACATGTGTTATTTGTCGATGTCATTTTTGTTCATAGTTCCCCGAGGGGTTCTCCCAATCCCCACTCCTTGAGGCACATGCAATGGGGTGAGAAGGAGTAGAGTAATGCGGTCTTCAGTAGAGAGCCGAGGGCTGACGCCTTTTGCTTCATTTTGGGAGATGCCTCGTTAAAAACCTCATTAGGAAAAACCCTGTGGGAAAAAATCCTAATGAGGGAAAAAGAGTGCACCGGATGCCCCCATAATGAAGTAAAAAGGTGAACCCTGCAGTCTGAGATGAAGGATAATGCTGAGGCCGAGGGCCATTCATTATCTGTGGAGAGTAGCTCCGAGACCCTGAGGGCTGTCTTTGATATGACGGCGATGATTGCCGAGGGGGTTCCCCCAAGTTCTTAGGCATCGAGGGCTGAGTGCTCCTGAGGGGTTATCCCAACTTTCATGATGAAAGCTAAATGCGGCAGGAGGGTCTTTGAACCTGATAATCCGAGGGCGTGTAGTGATGCTCGAATGCTCACGTTGTTACTGTATGAAGGGTTCCAGCTGAGGGTCCCCTGAATGTTTCAGATATAGTCGTTGGGATATGACCGTTGGAATGTGACCGTTGGAGGTGGGGTCCCGTGGCGTATCCTGGTTGGCTCGCTTCGAGCGGGTGGCGCCAGTTGGTTGAGGCGACGGTTCGTAATGATGGTTTTTTTGAACTGGGGGTCCAGTTTACGGCCCAAGCCCGAAATGGGGAGACTATAAATACCGCTGGCCTGGATCATACCCTTTGTGCGATTTTGTTGTAGCGAAGCTCTGGCAAAAATTTTCTAGAGAGAGAAAGTATTTAGGTCGATCAAACCTTCATTTTCAAGGTCAGTTCATCTCTTGTTCTTCGCTTCAGTAGTATATTTAGCTTTGCCTCCCTTAGGTTTAGTGTTTAAGTGGACTTTAGGAAATCTTCTCCCATCATTTCTCCCATGCTTTAGAGCCGAAGGATGTCCTCGGTCAGCGATTCCCAAGATATTTCCGGGGAGGTCACGATCCAGTCAAAAAGCTACTCGGACGTTGAGTCCCCGAGTGAAAAGACTTCGGTGAGTGGTGATTTTGCCGTGGCTATGGAGGTGCAAAAGGATCTCGTCGCCGAGGCCGAGACCAAGGAGTTCGAGCAAGTCGTCGAGGATGAGGAGCTTTCCCTCGCTATGCAAAATGTCGAGGAGGAAGAGGAGAAGGAACGACAAAAGGTCACCATTGCCGTCCTTCCCCCGCGCAACGCTGGTGAGGCCAGCAGCTCCCAGCCACTCAACCCGGAGCCTCTCACGGTGGCCCCGGGGAAGCCAAACAAGAAGAAGATGGGCGCCCCCAAGAAGAAGGGGAGTGTTGTAGTCCTTGGGAAACCCGTCAGGATCCCTGAGGGGTACTCATTTTTGAACACCGCCGCTTTTGAGTTGAAGTCGAGGGCTGATAGGGTGGAGTGTTACGTCACTAAGCTGCATGTGGGGCCTTCGGCGACCGTGGTGGAGCCGGGTCCTGATGATGTGCTCTCTCGGGCTCCCGAGGGGTGTTTTGCGGTGCACATCCTATCCGTCTCGTTGGTCCTCCGATTTCCTCTACATCCCTTCCTCCTTGAATACCTTCGGTGTATAGGCTTGGCCCCTGCCAGTTCACCCCTAACAGTCATTCGTACATCACCGGATTTCTGAACCTCTGCCGGTCTCGGGGGGTAACTGCTACCCTTGACCTGTTCTTCCAGAGCTTCAACCTCTGTCGGGGAGGTCACACAAATGCCGAGGGCTTCGCGAATCTTCAGCAGATCGCCCCGTGGAGGCTATTTAATGACGTGCCCTCATCCCACAAGGGCTGGAAAGACCACTTCTGCTATGTGAGGTTGGCAGAAAACCCATTTCTGAGGGAGCTGCGGAACTATTTCAGGCGGCATCTGAAGGTGGAGAGTGTTGCCCTCGAGAAGGATGGGAAGAAGATCTCTGCTCTTTCGGAGGGGCCATGAAGCACGTGTCAGTGAAGGACTCGACCCTCCCGGATGACCTATACAGTTTGGGCTTCCGGTGATACCGCTACCTGCGGGAATGGGATGAGAAGTATCCCCTTCTTGATCGCGCATTCGAGGGCACAGGAGGTGGTTCCCGAAGGCTCCCCTTCTGTACTTAGAA